TCTGTATCTATGAAGCGCCTTGAGGCGACTTTTGTTGTGATTTGGCGCTATATAAATAAAATTGAATTGAATTGAATTGAAATTGAATAGAAAAAAAAGAGAAAACAAGCAAAAAAGAGAGCAACATAATAAACACAGCACCATTGCATTAATCTAGCTAAGTGTAAATAACAGTAAATACTATATACTGAATGTTGTTGTGCGTGCTGCACACTTTGAGGTAGCAGCAGTCTTCTTCATTAAGATTACTTGTTGAAAACACTGAATAAGTATTCTTGGTGTGTGTTCTTTGTTCTACTACATTTCAGCAAATGTGTTGGGAGCAGCTGAGTGCAGTCAGATATCACGCAGTACCATCTGGAAGCCATTTGACTGGAAACAGCTTTATTACTCAGCACGCCGATGATCCCGAACACACTGGCAGTGGAGTAAAATCATAGCTAAAGCCATAATCTACAAATAGAGGAAACAGGAAACATTGTTAAACCTACCAAAGTTCCTCGAAGAGAGCACTGACGACTTATCTGGGAGCTCCCAAAAGGACGCTGAACATCAGCTAAAGAACTCCCGGCCTCACTCGCCTCAGTTAAGGCCAGTTTATGATTTCACAATATGACAGAAACTGGGCAAAAATGGTGTTTATGATGGAGTCTGAGGCAAACCCGCTGCTGACCGAAGAGAACAGAAACTAGGAGAATAGACGAGCTTTTAAAACTCCTGTGATCCATGGTGGGCTGTGTAAACTTAAATCTACATGAAGAGTGACTGCATTAGTGTATTAATACCATAATCTTTGGGTATATAAGACGCACATCATGTCATGTTCTTCTTCTGGCACATGGTGGTGCTAAACATGTTCTAAATGCTTCTCCAGCTTCACAGCGTTACGTCTGTGAGTGTCTTAGAGCCTCCAGGCTGTAAATGAGCTTTTTACACGTCATGTCCACTTTAAACACAGTCGGCTGTCATTCATGCATCTGCAGTTTCCTTCCTCCACAGCAGTATCTGCCCAGCACCCCTCTGTATTTTCCATTACACACAGTAGAGCGGCGTGCCAGGTCAAGACTGCCGTTTCCCTTTGGCTGGAGGGTGACCGCCGGCAGTAAAACACTACTGAGGGGGGTTTAGGTGTCATTTTTTCTACATAATCATAGCAGTGCTGGGCTTCTTGGTCCTGGAGTTTCATTAATGATGGATTAGTGAAGACACGCTGTTGGCTGCAGCTTCTCTATCAGGCTCTATGTGTTTAGACATGAGGTCACGATGAGGTTGAGACTCCACCACTTTTCTACTTGTATCTACTCCAGTCGGCTGCCTGCTGAGGACACTGGACTGTTACTGAGGGCATACTGGTCTCCAACTGTATACAAACCATTACAGTGTTTTGAATCACTTCAGCTCAGCTAATGTGAGTTTGAGCTAACTCAGGGGTCAGATTAGCACAGCAGCAGCAGCATATCTTTCATAGCCATTCCTCCAGTCTTTTAAACAGCTGAGAAAAAAAGACTTTAAAAGCATGTTCGGGTGTATACTCAGCAGCAGAGAGGGGTGCAGGGTTGAGGTGGGACGTTTGAACGCTGTGTGGACTTCTAATCTGATTCCCAGTCAGCTCCAACTGTGAACGGTGTGAACTGCAGTTTCCAGAGAGAACAGGATACGGTGATAATGTAAGAGGAACCGCTCCCTTCCTTGCTTCGGTTTCCTGAGAAGAGTCTGGCTGCCTGCCGACAAGACCCCACCCACCCAACCGTTCAGCAGAGTGAAGAGACAGCACGACCCTTTCTGCAAACTAACGATTACTAAATGGACAATTTTGTGTTCATCCAGCACGTAGTTCAGATAAAAACACTTTCAGATGATCATGACAGATATTTGACTTTCGTGTGCTTCAGACAGTAACTTTCTATTTTACTTTTATTTAAAAGTATTTGCCCCCTTCCTGACTTCTTATTTATTGTACATATTTGTCACACTTACATATATTATACTCATAATATTAGGCAAAGATATCCAAAGAGCTATCTGAACCCTGTGTGCAAAAAGTAAGTTTTTGAAAAGCTACACTCAGACCTGATGAACCAAGAAATCACAAAGTCTGATAAAATGAAGCAGCTAAAAGATCCCATAAAGCAAAAGACAGCATGTTGATTGATTGATTGATTGATTGAAGTAGAGTCTTTGGGACTTCATTGGACCATGGTGAAAGCCATTCTCCACAAAGGAGTGGGTGACACAGTTAAAAGTCAGATGTGGCGGTGGTGTGATGATCTAGGGGTGCTTTGCTGTTTCAGGACCTGACCAACGTACTGTCATTGATGGAACCATGAAGTTTGCTCTACAAGAAAATCCAGCTCAGTTCATGCCCTGAAGCTTAAGTGCACTCGGGTTATTCAGCAGGACAGAGACCCAAGACAAACCAACGAGTCCACCTCAAAATGGTACAAAGAAAACCAACATTAAGGTTTTGGATGTTTTGAAATGTCCTTGTCAAAGTTCGACCTTAAAACTGATCCAGATGCTCTGGAATGACCATGAAAAGCAGTTCACGCTCGACAATCCTCAAACTGGCTCAACTGGAAAGACCAGTGGGCCAAAACTCCTTCACAGTAGTTTCAAAGACTCATTACATTATTTCAAATGCTTGATCGCACTTCCTGCTCTCAAAGCTGCCACAACCAGT